GGAAAACTAGATATCCACATGCAAAAGAATGAAGGTGGACCCTTACCTTGGACCATATACAAAAAACAACTTCCAATAAAGATCTAAAAATATAACATTCTAAAATGAAAACATAGGGGAAATGCTTCATGGCCTTAAATTTGACAAAAATTTTGAAACAGGTAAGGGTCAATGATCTCCTGTCTAAGGTGTTATCTGAGCTTATTGTCTCATGACTGAGAAAATTAAGGGGCGTGGCCACAAACAGTGAGGTTGAAGTGAAAGTTTAACCAGCAAAAGAAGAAAGCTCTCCACAGTGTAGAGGGGAGCCCAAGTGGGGTGTCGTTTTTACAGTAAAATTCAAAAGCTATTACAAGAAACTCTTCTCATCTCTATAGCTGTTTGAGTAACTTATCTTATGAATAAAGCTCTCTGTGCAACTCCCCTTATCTTCTGCCGCTATGGGTAAGTCCCTAGACAAGCACAAAGCACGGCTTCTCTTGTTTGTGTCACTGCAGGTTTGTTTGCCCTCCTCCTCCCTGTGCAAGTTCCCCAGGTTGTTCTAGTTTACTCGTAGCTGTGATTTTTCAGGTAGGCTGCTTCTCCGAGGACTGCCCTTAGCTGTGTACTTAACTGGTTTTGAGATAGGGGCAAAAACAGAAACCTAAGCACTGCCATCTTTTTTTTTTGAGACGGAGTTTTGCTCTTATTACCCAGGCTGGAGTGCAATGGCGTGATCTCAGCTCACCGCAACCTCCGCCTCCTGGGTTCAGGCAATTCTCCTGCCTCAGCCTCCTGAGTAGCTGGGATTACAGGCACGCGCCACCATGCCCAGCTAATTTTTGTATTTTTAGTAGAGACGGGGTTTCACTTCGTTGACCAGGATGGTATCGATCTCTTGACCTCGTGATCCATCCGCCTCAGCCTCCCAAAGTGCTGGGATTACAGGCGTGAGCCACCGCGCCCGGCCCAGCACTGCCATCTTATAGAGAAGCCATCTGGGCCCTGGGCAGAGGTATAATTCTCGAAACTGTTATTGTACTGCAGTTCTCAGAGGTATTAAGGGTAAAAATTTCCACTGCTACCCCCCTCCCCTTGCAATAAACCGCTAACTTTAGCTTCTGTACAGTCAGCTTGCCTTGCACACCCCTGGGCACCCCCAAACAAGGATGTGGTTTTGCAGCTTAAATGCCTTGCTCCCCCTGAGCTCGGGGCCACAGGTTGGAGAGACTTAAGTCCTCTGTGGCTGCCGGCAATAAAGACCCTGCGATTTGGCATACTTTTGTCTTGGTGTTGAATTTCCACTTGCTCGGTGCAACAGTTTTTCCTTTTCTTATCCTTGAATTTCTTGGATAAAATACCAAGAGCACAGGCAACAAAACCAAAAATAGACAAATGGAACTATATCAAACTTTTTTTTTTTTTAAGACAGAGTCTTGCTCTATCACCAGGTGCCAGGCTGGAGTGCAGTGGCGCGACCTCAGCTCACTGCAACCTCCGCTTCCCAGATCCAAGCAATTTTCCTAACTCAGCCTTCCCAGTAGCTGGGACTACAAGTGCGTGCCACCATGTATTTGTAATTTTAGTAGAGATGGGGTTTCACCATGTTGGCCAGGATGGTCTTGATCTCTTGATCTCGTGATCCGCCCGCCTCAGCCTCCCAAATGCTGGGATTACAGGCGTGTGCCACTGCACCTGGCCTATATCAAACTTTAAAATGCCTGCATATCAAGCGAAACAGTCAATAGAGTGAAAAGACAATGTATGGAATGGGAGAAAATAATTGCAAAGCATATATCTGATAGGTTAATATCCAGAACATATATATACAAAAAAAAAAGTCCTACAACTCAACAACAGAAAAACAAATTACCCAAATTTTTTAAAACTGGGCAAAGGACCTGAATAGACATTCCTCTGAAGAAGATATAAAAGAGACCAGAAAGCATAGAAAAAGATGCTCAAATTGCTAACCATTAAAGAAATGCAAATCAAAGCTACAGTGATATATCATCTTACATTCATTAGGATGGCCAGCTTTTTTTTCAAGCACAGAAAATAAGTCTTGGCAAGGATGTGGAAAAGTTCATTCCTGAAGGGAATGTAAAATGGTGCAGCCTCTAGGGAAGACAGCATGGAGTTTCCTCGAAAGATTAAAAATAGAGACGCCGAGGCCGGGCGCGGTGGCTCAAGCCTGTAATCCCAGCACTTTGGGAGGCCAAGGCGGGTGGATTACGAGGTCAAGAAATCGAGACCATCCTGGTCAACATGGTGAAACCCCGTCTCTACTAAAAATACAAAAAATTAGCTGGGCGTGGTGGTGCGTGCCTGTAATCCCAGCTACTCAGGAGGCTGAGGCAGGAGCCTGAATCCAGGAGGCGGAGGTTGCGGTGAGCCGAGATCGCGCCATTGCACTCCAGCCTGGGTAACAAGAGCGAAACTCCATCTCAAAAAATAAAATAAAATAAAAATAAAAATAGGATTACCACGTAATCCAACAATCTCACTTATAGGTTATATAGCCAAAAGAATTAAAAGTGGGATCTCAAAGATATCTGGGGAGAGGGAGCCTGATTGCAGGGGACAAGGAGGCAGTGGAAAGCAGGAAAATGGAGGCAGTGGGTGTAGACTCATCTTTCAAGACACAAAGAAAGAAGCGACCACACCCAAAACAAAGTGTGAAAGAGGGAGATGTTTCTTTTTTCTATAGGAAAGGTTGTGGACATATCAGAAGAGAGAAAACAATTAAAGATACAGGAGAAAAGAAGTCCTTGAGTTATTTGAGGGGTGGGATGGGATCCAAAGCCAGGTGGACGATTACCCTTTTCCATGGTAACCAGAGGAAAAAAGAAAATAATGGGCAGGGATGGAGGGAGGCTCAGGAGTTTGGTGGCAAGACGTTAAAGGCATTCTCTTCTGGTGGTTTCTTTTTTTTGGGAGGGGGGGAAGAAAAAGAGGGAAAAAGGAATATTACTTCATTCCTAAAATGGGTTTCAATAATGGCCGATCAATATTTTGAGTGTTTAAAGTGGTTAATGCATATTTTATGTGTTTAAAATGGAGACCTCTATTGTGTTTATTTGTTCTGGCTCTGAGTTCAAGTCCTGGATATTGTTATCAATTTGTTGTCTCGTTGAATCTAAATCTCATTATGTGTCTTATGTATCTGGGTATTAAGATCTCTTATTGTTACATTAATCCTTTTACCCTTGCATCCTTGTAGCTTTGAAATCTATTTTATTAAGTGTGAGAATTGCAACTCCTGCTTTTTATTTATTTATTTTTGCTCTCCATTTGGTTGGTGAGTTTTTTTCCATCCCCTTGTTTTGAGTCTTTGTATATCTTTAGATATATCGTTAGATTTTGTGGATAATGTATATTTTGTGTGTTTAAAATGAAGAGCTCTATTGAGTTTATTTGTTCTGGATCTTAGTTCCAGTCCCGGATATCGTTATCAATTTTCTGTCACATTGAATCTAAATCTCATTATGGGTCTTATGTATCTGGGTGTTAAGATCTCTTATTATTACATTAATCCTTTTACCCTTGTATCCTTGTAGCTTTGAAATCTATTTTGTCAAATGTGAAAATTGCAACTCCTGCTTTTTATTAATTTATTTTTGCTCTCCATTTGGTTGGTACATTTTTTGTTTTCCAACCCTTTATTTTGAGTCTATGTATATCTTTGGATATACCGTTAGATTTTGTCTGTATCTTTTGATTGGGAGATTTGGTCGATTTAAATTTAGGGTTGCTGCCATTTGATATTAACTGCCTATTTTGTCCTTTCGTTGATAAAAATTCTTCTTTATGTTAATGCTCTTTACTTTTTGGTGTATTTTTAGAAAGGGTCATACTGGTTGTTCCTTTCTGTGTATAATGCTTCTTTTAGAAGTTCTTGTAAAGCAGGCCTGGTGGTAATAAAATCTGAGTACTTGCTTGTTTCTATTTATTTTTCCTTCAAATGTAAAGCTTAAATTAGCAGGATATGAAATTCTGGGCTGAAAGTTCTGTTGATTACGTATATTGAATATTGGCCTCCACTCTCTTCTAGCTTGTAGGGTTTCCGTTGAGAGATCTGCTGTAAGCCTAATAGGCTTACCTTTATGGGTAACTTGATCTTTCTCTCTGGCTGCCCTTAATATTTTCTCCTTCGTTTCGATCTTGGTGAATCTTACGATTATGTGCCATGGGGTTGGTCTTCTTGAGGAATATCTTTGTGGTGTTCTCTGTATTGCCTGGGGTTGAATAGTGTCCTGCTTTGCTAAATTAGGAAAATTTTCCTGGATAATGTCCTGGAGAGTATTTTCCAGCTTGAATTCATTCTCTCCGTCACATTCAGGTACACCAATCAAGCGTATATTAGGTCTTTTCACATAGTTCCATATTGCTTGGAGACTTTGCTCATTCCTTTTTATCCTTTTTTCTCTATTCTTGTCTTGTCGTTTTGTTTCATTAAGTTGGTCTTCGACTTCTGATACCCTTTCTTCTGCTTGATCCATTCAGCTGTTTAAGCTTGTACATATTTCACTAAGTTCTCGTGTTGTATTTTTCAACTCCATAAGTTCATTTGTATTCCTCTCTATATTGTCTATTCTTTTCAACATTTCATCGAACCTTTTTTCCAAGTTCTTAGTTTCTTTACATTGGGTTAGAACAAGTTTCTTCAACTCCCAGAAGTTTCTTATCATCCACCTTTTAAAGCCTACTTCAGATAATGGAACACAGTCCTTTTCCATCAGGGCTTGTTCCATTACTGATGAGTCCTTTTCCATCAGGGCTTGTTCGGTTGCTGATGAGTCCTTTTCCATCAGGGCTTGTTCCGTTGCTGATGGGTTCTGATTTTGAGTATACTCAGCCTTCTTAGGCTGTTTTTTTCCCTTCATTGTAGATGAACCGCCTTTCTAATTAGGTTTCTGAGTCGACTTCAGACTTATTGATTCCCAGTGCTGGGATCTGAGCAACCCACTGTGGCAGCCTAAATAGCAGCGATAAGACTGATGGTGATCTTCTGCCCGGGAATCTCTGGTCTGGCTTCCTTCTTGAGTCCGCAACAAGCGGCTCTGACTTCCTGGAGCTCCAAACTCCGGTCAGTAGGGGAAGCAGTCCCGTTGGCTCTGCATGAAGAGCTGCTGCGCCGAGAAGCCGGCAAAACCGCTGTGGCGGCCACAAGAGTCGTGCTGGCGACCCGTGGGGCTCCTCCACTGGGAATCGGCTAATCGGTGAGTGACGAAAATTCGTCTAAAGATGTGGCGTCGTCTCGTTCTCTGAGCTTTCACTGGGAGCTACAATCCTGAGCTGTTAGTGGTGGGCCATCTTGGATCGATCTTTTTCTGGTTTCTATTTTCTGGGTGAAATAAAAATCTAGTTTTTATGCTGTGAGGATAGAGCTGTGAGAAGAATAGCCAGTTTGAGGACAAACTGAAGAGAGTGCCTGAAGAGAGTGGCGAATATGTGAGTATTCTCTGTGGAGCATGTATATGGAAGCTGACCTGTAGGAACAGGCTGCTGCAGGCCAGTCAGTGTTCTGATCATAAATATAAAAGACGGGTGTGTAGTAGAGGGTTAACTGCGCAGGCTGTGTTTGCTCCAGTCCTGCAAAGAAGGGCCTGTCTTTGGGAGGACTGGCCCTTGACCAGCTCCTTGTGCCACACTATATCAGTTTGACTAGATGTGCCAACAGGGTGACTATGGTAAAGCCTGTTTCTGTACGCCTGAGGCCCTGGGCCATGCTGCATGAGTTTCACCTCTGGGAGGCTGGAAATTGAGTAGGTAAGGTCAGCCATGCAGATGATGCATGCCCATGTAACTGGCCCCCAATAAAAACCCAAGGCTTGAGTGAGCTTCCTTCTCAGCAATACTTCACACATGTTGTCATACATCACTGCTGGGAAAACTAAGCACACCTCTGTACAAAGTCTTCAGGTAGGCCATACCTGGAAGTTTGCACCTGATTTCTCTTGAACTTCACCCCTGGGCCTTTTCCCTTTGCTGAATTTTAATCTGTATCCTTTCTGTCTGATAAACCATAACTTTTTATATCAGCTCTTCTAAGTTCTGTGAATCCTCCTACTAAATAAGTGAGCCTGAGGATGATCTTGGTGACTGCCAATATAGCTATAATATTGAATAACTGGAGACAAGGAATAGATTGGTTAAGTGGGTTGTTTTATCAATTCACTGAAATACTAGGCAACTACTAAGAAATATAACAAAGCCGTCTATGCTAGCTATAGCAGAAAGTTTTTTAAAAATAATGTGTTATTTTTTATTTTTGTGGGTACATAGTAGGTATATATATTTATGGGGTACACAAGATGTTTTGATACAGGCATGCAATGATCACATTACAGAAAACAGGGTATCCTTCCCCTCAAGCATTTATCCTTTGTGCTATAAACAATCCAATTACACTCTTTTTTTTTTTTTTTTGAAATGGAGTTTCGCTCTTGTTACACAGGCTGGAGTGCAATGGCGCAATCTCGGCTCACCGCACCTCCGCCTCCTTGGTTCAGGCAATTCTCCTGCCTCAGCCTCCCGAGTAGCTGGGATTACAGGCACACACCACCATGCCCAGCTAGTTTTTTGTATTTTTAGTAGAGATGGGGTTTCACCATGTTGACCAGGATGGTCTCGATCTCTTGACCTTGTGATCCACCCGCCTCAGCCTCCCAAAGTGCTGGGAATACAGGCTTGAGCCACCGCGCCCAGCCTCCAATTACACTCTTTTAGTTATTTTTAAATGTACAATTATATTATTATTGACTGTACACACCCTGTTGGGCTATCAAATAGTAGGCCTTATTCTATTTTTTTTGGTAACAATTAATCATCCTCACCTCCTCCTTAACCACCAACTACCCTTCCCAGCCTCTAGTAACCACCCCCTTATCTCCATGAGTTCAATGGTTTTGATTTTTAGATCCTATAAATAAGTGAGAACATGTGATATTTGTCTTTCTGTACCTGGCTTATTTCACTCACATAACGATCTACAGTTCCACCATGTTGTTGCTAGTGACTGAATCTAATTCTTTCTACGGCTGAATAGTGCTCTATCACATATATGTGCCACATTTACTGTATCCACTCATCTGTCGATAGACACATAGGTTGCTTCCTTATCTTGGCTACTGTGAGTGGTGCTGCAGCAAACATGGGCATGCAGATCTCTCTTCAGTGCACTGATTTCCTTTTTTTGGGATATATACCTAGTTGTGGGATTGCTGGATTGCTGGATCCTATGGTTATATCATACAGTTTTAAAACGCTAGTTTACAAGTGGAAATGTATGAGCACATTTACTTTAAAAATACATATTTGTGTGGATATATATGAAAAATGTTGAAAGATATGTAATACATCAAACCATTGACTGGTTATTTCTGGGAGCCAGCATTAGGAGAAAGACTTACATGAAATGCATTAGGCGCTTCTTCTTATACAGTTTTTACTTATCTGTTTCAACTAGTATTATTAAAATTCTTCACCATTAACAATAATAGATGCTTGTATTCAGGGAAAGAGGGGAAATGTAAGGGTTTATTTACTGACATTTTATGGTATCCTTAGAAGTGAGATTTCCCTTCTCAATTCCCTAAAATTACTGCATGAGTTCCTTCAAGGATACGAGTAGGAGACACATCTCAATTGTCACTGAATGCCCACAGAGGCTGGCTCAGTAGGTATCTAACTGGCGACAGAAGGAGACTCCGTCTCAAAAAAAAAAAAAATTCTCAATTTGTATCCTCTGAAGTGAAATTTAACAGCTTCTGTATTTAGGATTTTAGCCACTAGGTGGCATTATTTGCCTTTTTGTAAGATCTGTTTTCTCGGCACTTGTCTTGAAAAAAGGAAAAGTGATTATAGAAGCCCTGCAAGAGAACAATCAGGATGTTAGGCCCAAGTAAGGATTTACAGCTGGGTTGCTTTCCTGTCAAGGAAAGGCGAAGAGGCTCTCTGTCTTAACATTGGTAGCTACACACACACACAGCCACAATTTTTTACCACCATTGAAACTGCCATCTTGATGAATATTGAGTATTGAAACTCCAATCTTGATGAATACTGAGCAAGCAATATTTTCTCATAATTGCTAAGAGATCGTCAAGTACGTGATGGCTCACTTTTTTGAGAAGGTACTCATTTTATGTAACTTGACTGATCGCGTGAGGATACACATGACCCAGTCTTCTCACTCTGGTTGTTTCCCGAAACTTGTGGCCTTCTAGAGCATAGTCACAGATATGATTTATAATTATCATCTATAGAACATTTACTGTGAATGCAGATCTCTGCTGAGCAATCCAGAGAGATTTGCCGTATTTTGTCCCATCACCTCCTCATCGTGGTCCAAAGACAAATTCCTCTTTCTATTAATATTTCCAGCATTGGCCAGGAGCAGAGGTTCGCGCCGATAATCCCAGCACTTTGGGAGGCTGAGGTGGGTGGATCACCTGAGGTCAGGAGTTTGAGACCAGCCTAGCCAATACGGTGAAACCCTGTCTCTACCAAAAATACAAAAATTTGCTGGACGTGGTGGCAGACACCTGTAATCCCAGCCTCTCCTTCTAAGAAATGCTGGGGCAGGAGCCAGTTCATGATATTTGGGCCATGCTCTCAGTTCTTTTTTTGACTCAAGGAGAAACTGGTAAACAGAGAATCGGATGAGTGGGGTGAGGAAGACCACAGATGTTCCCCATTCCACATCAAGGTTTGCTGCGTGACATTTTGCAAAAACCCTCTCCCTCCATTCTTCCCCAGACAGACAAAATGCAGGGAATGGCCATGGGTCCCCTCACCCAGTGTCACAACCTTGGAGAGCTTTTGCTGCCTGCACTTAGGCCAGCGTGTTATAGCAGAAAGAGCTCTGGACTTGCATGTACGAGCCACAGATTTCAGTTTTGGTTCTGTCATGTGGTAGTTGAATAACTTTGGCCCAGCCAGTTAAGCTCTCTGGACTTCTGTGCACCTATCCAAAATAGTCAAGGCCAACCATGCCTGCTCTAACATTCCCTAAAGGATTTTTGAACTAGAAAAATCAGAAATCCTATCAACTTTGGGTCAGTCCACAGATTATTTCCAAATCCTTTAAAAATGTCATGCCAACAAACATATCTCCTTACCACCAAATATATCCCCTTCTTTCTCTCAAATGTCTCAAACCACATGTTAAATTGACAGCACAGACAAAATACTTCGGAGGCTGAAACAAAGAAATAATTCATTTTAGCTGGAGGAAGCTGAGAAAAATTCTCAGAATAGGTGGCTTTAAACTGGGTATTTTTCACAGGTGAAAGAAATGAGGGGTAAGGGCCTGGAAAGGGTGGTAGAAAGAGCGGTGAGGCAAAGGTGGCAGAGATATGAAGGCTAAGACACTTGAAGTTGTTTTATTCTATGTGTCTGGCATGTCTAGGCAAAAAGGAGAATTTGTTTTGAGACTTTGAAAGCTGTCCTGAAACATGTATTCAGTCACCCTGGTCACATCCGCCATTATGGTGGCCACAGAGTCACAGCGCTGTCATGGGAAGGGCTCCTGCAGTCTCGTGTCCTTGTCCCTCACAGGGTTCATGTTCACAGCCTTCTCACAGAGGATCTCAAATTCCCCTACTAGGACAACAGGGGTACCCCATGGACAAGTCCCACCTGCTTCTATACCTTCAGGCTATCAAACATTAAGACTGCCTCCAATCCAAAATGATATTCTCAGAGCAGATGACTGCAGGAAGGGCTTGTAAATGCTCCTAAAAAGAAGCAGTGTCCACTAGGTGCCAGCATGAACTTACCAAGAATGGTCTTGCCCTGATAGTCTGGTTTTTTTGTTTTTTGGCAGGGTGAATAGGCAGTTTGGGGAAATGTTCATACACTGGCACTTCCCTAGGTTTCTAGACAGACCTCCTTGTGGACAAGGGAGACAATTATAAGCTCAATATGAGAACAGTCAACTACCCAGCCTGGCCAACATGGTGAAATCCCATCTCTACTAAAATTACAAAAATTAGTCAGGTGTGGTGGCAAGCACATGTCATCTCAGCTACTTGGGAGGATAAGGCAGGAGGATTGATTGAACCCAGGAGGCAGAGGTTGTGGTGAGCCAAGACTGTGCCATTGCACTCCAGCCTGAGTGACACAGCAAGACTTTGTCTTAAAAAAAGAAAAAAAAGAGAGAGAGCGAGAGAGAACAGTCCACTAGGCTGGTAATTGGTTAAGCAATTATATCAAA